ACGTTACCGATAATATAAGACCTCTGTCTTTTATCAGGAATGCCTATCGTAAGCTTTCTCCAGCTCTTCTTCGTGAAGAGCTTCCTTGGCGTAACGATAACGTTGCAATAAAGATAAAGATCATAAAGGTGGTTTATATTCGTTAAAGTAATAAGTAGGAAAAGTACTTAGAACAAAGCATGAAGAACCTATCGTCCTCGGCCGCAGCGGCCTCCTTATATAGTATTCTTCCTGCCTGTAGTCATGTGACCCAAAATGGTCACATGTGCGAAACCAAATCATAACAAACTAGTCATGTGACCAAAGTGGTCACATGCTCAAAACCCATGGCCTCATAGCGAGGTCATATGCAAAAACTCATAAACCAATCATAACACAATAAACAAATCATATGGCTTGACTGAGTCATATTCATAAAACCCATGACCTCATAACGAGGTCATGTGCGAAACATAAATCATATACACAAGGCTTACCCACAAGGCACACTTGCAAGGCATACTCGCCAGGTGCACGTCCCATGACTCATATTTGAGCCATGTGCGAAAGCATCACAAATCCCACACATAACAAATCATATGACTCGAATGAGTCATATGTGTGAAACAATAACATACCTGTGACTCATAACCATGTGTCATGTGAAAACCTTTTTCATGCCAAGCCATGTTCGTGACACTCTACCTTCTCCTTATACTGTGTGCAGTTTGAAAGGTGATCGCACTGACAGGTAGTACTACGTGTAAAGCTTCTGCCACAGACCTAGCACCTTACTATTTCAGTCTTTTCTCCCGATCTTGATAGCATTTTTTTAATTCTAATTTCTTCCCAAGGTATATCCCTGTTTTCATACATACCTTTTTACCATGCTCAGTCTGTAGAGTATCAAATGAATAGTGAACTTGAGTATCTTTATTTCACCCCAAAGCCGATTGTTTGTTTGTTGAGTTGTCTATCTGTCCTTTCGCTCCCCACTTTCTTTTTTTCCTTCCCCTTATAACCCTAACCTTATCACATCATTGTATGTTTTGTATTATTCGTAATTTACAATACATGTAAAATACGGTCAGAAAATATAAAATACGTATTTTATGAAACCCTTGGTTTGCTAGTCGTTAGCTCGGAATAGCCCATCTTTCCGTCAATGTGCTTTCCCATGTTCCAGATTAGGTGAGATATACGCCGTATTCTTACATCATGATCACTCATGGGTTGCAAATTAGCGGGAATATGGAATAGGCGCAGCCTTTCCCCAATGAACCCTGATATTTTGGAGGGTACCATACCCCTAGAGTAGTCCTCAAACTCGCATTTGTTTACACTTCGTGAGAAACACCTATACCCTTCTCAACCAAAAAGGCTTTACACAAACTTGAGAACGCTGTATATTCCAATACTCTTCAAACTTTGCAGGCTCTCCGTCCCACTCCCGAGAAGCCATCTGTTCCGCGAAAGATGAGAAAAAAAACTCCCAATAGTTCCCCCACCGATAACCCTATTTCCAATGCAACACATATTCCAGGGGTCTTTGGCGATTGCGGGGACCAGCGCTCGCTACTCAGCATGGTAGACATCCCAGTAAGCAATTTCGGAGAGCGGCGGCTTCTGAGTGAAGGGTTGTGAGGACTTGATGTTGTATGATAGATACTCCCCCGTGTGATCCGGTGCGATAAGCCGGCAGCACTGTCTAGATGGCTGTAGACTACGCTCACTTTCTTTAGGTAAATTCTATAAGGTGGTGGTCCGGCGCCGGGCTTCCGTAGGACTCTCTTTGTGATTTGTTTTTCTTTAACCAGAGAATGGATATGCACTTGTAGGTATTATTACTGGAAAATTCAGTTCTTAAAATCTAGTTGTTTTTTGGATTCTGGGGGGATGGAGTGGTTGAGCTCCGCCGAGAAAGTTGCCCCTTTCGCAACAAGTGATTTTCCCTTACCATCCACTACAGACTCGAATGGAAAGAGCGATCCACCCCCGATAATCAAGCCCGAGTGCACATAAGGACAATGTGGTGAGTAGTGCAAACACTCCTTGGCGGGAAAAGCAAGGATCTAGAAAAAACCTGCTTGACGAGACTAATAAAATATAGGACAAAAACTGAGATTTCGATAGGGGAGTGGGCCAAAGGTTCCGTTTCTCGTGGGAAACATATGTGATCCCGGTTACGCCCAGCGCTTGGAAGCTGGGGCTCCATTTATCCTTCTATGATATCCATCCTGACCCACCGCGGCAATAGCCGACAAAGGACCCCTTTGGGCTACTGCGGCTACATTCTTCGCGACAATTGATCACTATTTGCAATCCGTGTGCCCCACGCGTTTCGCTCCGGAAAGCACTGGGAAAATAGCTCTGCCTAAGACTTTTAAGGGTTCATAGCTAAAGCGGGGAAAAGACAAAGTGGAAAATCACGCACTCAAAATCAACCCAATCATGTACAATAATCTCACCCACTCCCGCAAACGCGGATGTACTGTACCAAGAGCACCAGCTTCCTCTACCCGCGTGAAAAACTTTCTTTCCATGCATCTCCTGCTCTGTAACTTGACCTCAAATCTCCCCCCCCTTTATCGAGCAATTGAGAAACTTCTCCACCCCTCATGAGATCTTTCTCCTGTTCTCCAAACATTTTTTCTTACAACACCATGTAAACAACACTTCAATCATTTCCGCATTTTAAGAACAACATGTTGAATAGACCCACTGTCTATCAAGTGGAGAGGGTATCCAGACTGTTTTTCTGTTGTGGGGAATGGCCTTGAGGCCCTCGAAGATTCAACCGGTGTATATTAATTGAACTTAGTGGTTGGTTGGGTTTCGAGGGGGGGCGATAGATGTCAAAGTGTGCTGGCGGATGTTTGAGACCCCGTGGGCATCCGACGGCGTTCGTGGATCGATTTGGTTTTCATCAACTAATTGCGGATGGGCTAACGGGTCCGTGAACCTACTGTAAAAACTGGAATAACTCAAACTCACGTCGTAGCCACCTCTAGTGGGGTTAGTTGTATGTTCTACTTTCGCTGGTCTCAGCCGAGATCCGGAGGCCAATATTTTCCGACTTGATTCTCGCCCTCCCTTATCCAAAGAGGGTAACTCCGGGTGTCTTAAGAGCGAGGTTCGATTACAATCGACATATAATCCCAGTTAGCAGTAAGTAGGATACAGAAAGGTAGTTGGAAGGTCATGACTGTGGTTGTATCATACTTTAGCAAGAACGAATCGGTCACTGCGCACTAGTCGAACACATCCACTCTCGCCTCCGCACAAGTGCTGTCCTCCTTTTCGCTACGAAGTACCCGCTGCCCATATTTGCTATCAGATTACTCCGGTTCTCGCTGCAAGCCGGACCTAGGCCGGACCTGCTGCTTGTATATTAGCCAATGCCGAATTTGGGCTTGCCGAACATGTACGACAACGGGGGTTGAATTAACTTGGGATGCTTTCCGTACGGGTAAGTACAGTATTGTACTGTACTCGAGTAGGTGAGTGGGTTCAAGGATGCCGAAGTAGAATTCTGTGGGCCCCCTGCCATTAACAGCTGATCTAAGGACGTTACTACAGGGGAATGATACAACCTCCGCAATAGAACTGCACGATTGAGAAGCTGCACTCCCCCCGGGGTGGCGCCAATTCCGCGTAGTGGTGCCACATGTTCCACTCCAGAACTCACCTGTTTGTCTAGGGCGCAGTGGGGTTGTCGGTGTCCACCGGGGTTGGGCGGTTCGCGATACACTCTCAAGCCGTGAAATTGTATGCTGAAGACCACCAAACTGCTCCTGGCAACGTGAACCCAGAACGAATTCTCCGGTTGATCATGAAGGGTGGCCTGTTGGCCGAACTCCTGAGATGATGAGGTCTGAACTTCCAACATTGCGCATCTTGTATTCCAATGCATGTCACCCGAACGTTTACCCGTGATTTAGGATAATATTGTCACAGAGCACATATGATACCGGTATTCGGGCTAAAACCTCACGAGACAAAGCGGAACACGCAGCGATCTTCAATGCATCACTCGCTACTCGAGTATCCGCGCAGGACAATTTCTTCCTAACTTTCACACGAGGATGATCCCGTACCCGCATTTGTACAGTATCATACAGGCGCTAGAGCGACCTCCTCCACCTTAAACAACGCTATCCAAAACACTCACACCCTCCCCCGCACCGCCCCCAGCCGCGCCAAGTACCCAAGAACCACCGCCAAAAAGCTTAACCGTGAAAATGCCTTGGCACCCCTCCTTTCGGAAACCCACATGGGGTAAGCGTAATACGAAGGTGGAAATGCCAAGACCACCAGGCTCACGCTCTTTGCAAGTCATGTCGGTGCTCGGGTGTTACGATAGACTACAGTATGACACTGGAGGATTCGGTGGTTGGTTGATGCTTTACGGAGCACGCGACAGTGTCCTTGGCGACTCACCCTTTCAATCCTTGGGCGATGCGCGGATAGATGGGAAAGACGGGGCGAAAAGAGTTCGGTTAGCCGTATTTGCCGAGTTTCGCTTTTTCGCTTATGTCCTCGACTACCGGTACAGGTACTCGTACCGTCGGAGGAACCAGTATCCAGACATGTACTAGTACTCGTACCTGTATGTTCTCGCGGGCAGCCGGGGTTTTTATTTTCCGGCTAAGCTGAGGTCCTGTCCGCTGACCTTTTACCCGTGAGAAATGCTGCTGGTTTCGGTAGTCCTGCAAATCTCCGGATTCTGAAACAGAAGGCCCTGGGAAGGATTAGCGTCCTGTTAATCTGCTGGAGCGTTACAATAACCTGTTTTCGCAAGTTTGTCAACTCGCCAAATTATTCATATGGTGACACACTGATTCCCCCTGATTACCTGATATTAGACTGCAAGACTTTTATGGCACTGTTACGTGAGGAGCGGAAAGAGTGCTGGAGTATCATAATATTATGGGGTGCTATCAATGAATGGGGAGGGGGCACGAGAGAGCTAGGGGACCGAAAATCAACACGACGAGGTGCACAATTCTTTCCCAAAGGTTGAGAATCCCGTTTACCAATCTGGCCTCCGCTGGCACAGCAGAGCTCGTAACTATCCATCCATCAATACATCCCCGCACGAGTACCGGTATTATCATACGACTATCCGTCCATACATACATCCTTCCATCCATCCATCAATCAATCAATCAATCAATCGACCCAGTATCGAGGGGAACGGGAAAAAAAAAAAGCAAATCTGATACATCCATCCATCCATCCCTGCCCACATTCAAGCACACGAGTAAAATACAACAAAGCACCCCCGCTCATTATCGCACACACACGGGCCCAGAACGCTCACTTCTGGGATCTCGCTCTCTTCGCCGCAAGCTTCTTGTGAATGAATATACTTCCGAGAAGGATTGCGATTGCGCCGATAATACAGAAGACGACGATTACCCCGCGTTCCCTGCTCGCCCAGTTTCCGCGCTTGTAGAGGTGGGATTGTAGTGCAGGCATATAGAGATTCTAATCGCAATGTTAGGAGTGTGATAAAAGATGGGAAGGGAGTCGGGGGGGGGGGCATACTATACCTTGGGAATAGTAGGATCGAAGAGAAAAGAGCAAGAGCGATGGAGAATAATTGAGACGGAGTCGAAGTGCAGTGGATCGTTTTAACCTTTGAAAATTAGCAGTCTTTCCTCAGTCCGACGGATGGAATTTTCCAAACTCACCTTTCAAAACGCAATCCAAAGCGACCTTAGAGTAAGGAAGGGAAGGCAGACCGCCACCAACTTAAGTATCCCTGAGGCATTTCTTTTTCCTCAAAAAGCGCGGGTTCCCAATTCTGCGCTGTGCATTAAATGCCGATATTTCCGGTGGAGAGGTGGGGTGCAACCAGAAAAATGACGTTGTGTATAAGCTTTCCCAAGGTCTTGGTAGGTGCGATAATTGAAATAACCTTCGCTTGTTCAATTAAGGACCCTGTGATGCAATAATAGGGGTACTCGAGTGCTGTACACTAGACAGTACCTGACTAAATGAGGAAGAGTGTTTGGTTTTTGCATGGAGGTCGTGCCTGTGCTATATGGGGGAAAGATAGAGGCAATTCTTCTCTTCGTTTGATTGTACCCACCTGTTGAGGTGACCCTTGGATTTGGTGTGTATGTAACAGAGACCGTGGATATTGGCATCTTGGCATGGGCCCATGGTTGATGGGTGGGGGAAGTAAGTAGCTCATCTGCTTTTCTCATGCATTTCTGCAACGCGCACTGGGAACATGATCTATGAGTATCGGTAGTGACGGTGTATGAGCCCTCAAATAGTTAATCCCTCAGCGCTTGCCCTGATTCCTGATTGCCCGTCCGCGGTGCCCCGGTCTGTGTTTTCTACCCCTTTCTAAAATTGTAATACGGTAGAAAAACGGAATTTTCTTCCTGCCCTATGATCCACCCAAGTTCACTGCCGTCGCCTCTAACGTTGCCAGAGGCTACAGGCCGCACCACGCAAATATCGGTATCTTTAGTCCGCTACTGACTCCCTGTATTTCATCTTGCCGTTTGAACCGGGCATGTCAGGTTTGCCATCAAGGGACGACATGGATCATTCGAATGGCTTCGGTGCCGCATAGCTGTAGCAGATAATACCGGTAATCGCCCTCGAATTATTTCCCATCTGGCCCCCATGGCGCCAATGTCTTACAATAAACCTGTAGTTATTCAGTACAAGAGCCCAGTAAAATATTTTCCTACAAGATAGGGATTATTTTGCTGGTTAACTATTCCAGAATTATACGAAAACAGACTACCAGGGACATGTACGAGTACTCGTGTCTCCGAGCCAAGAAAGGGGACCTCTTTTGGAATACCGTATTAACTCGTCAAATTGAGTATCTCCGTACAGGGATAGTATCTCTGGTGGCGGTCTTGACTGGCCCTTTCGGGCGATCATTGATAGGTTGAGAATGTCTTATGGTAGCTTTGCTAGAATAGTAGAACGAAAGAAATGTGTAACTAAGAACATGTCTCTCTATCTGCCAGAAATTCAATATCCTCATGATTATCATGACCTTCTTCAATATTGGCAAAAGGATCCTAGTTGTCAACCACCTGTCAGTCCCCTATTTCCAACCCAGTAAAACCTTTAATATCAAGCTCACTATCACATGAGCCATCTGGTGGAAGTGACAAACCTACTTTGCTAAATGCTTGTGAAATAATTTCAGACTATTCTGTATGCAATTTGTAAAAAGCATCCCCCGCACACCAAGTAGTAAGAATTCTTCATTGTCTTATACTCCATTTTTCTATCTCCTCCGCCTCTTCACTGTCAAGAATAGCTTGATCTGTCAGATCTCTCATAATTCCTTTTAGCTGTTTGTTAATAGAAATATCAAGAGGTTGAACCAAACTGGAATAAACTCTAAGAATAAGGGATGAGAATATCTGGTTCTCATGAAGGATAGTGAGCACAGCAGGTGTTTTGTGGGAGCCCATTAAGTGGAGAGTAAAGTGGCTAGGATGACCTTGAAGGGCAGGAATGAGGTGGTCCATAATGTAACATAAAAAAAGCTCTTGGCTCATGTAAGCTCGGAAATTAAATTCCAATAAAACCCTAAGGTGGTAGTGATTGAACACATCACTGAGCCAACTTCTGGTCCTATGAAAGATAATCAGAGGTGGAATTTGAGGAACTCCGTCGGCAAAACACAAAGAACAGGACTGGCTTGCTGTTTATTCCAGCCTGAGTGAATTGATTTTACTCAGACAGTCTTGGAACCCATGGGTTCATATGTTTGACCTTCTAGGAATTCAAAGAGGATCAGGGTTTCAACCAAATTGCATATATTCCCAAGTTTGACCTGACTAACAGGAAGATCAGAGGTCATTATAATTGGCCAATAGGTGAGTGGACTCCATTCTGACTATGAATTGCTCAAAATGAATCTTAATTATGATAATATTCAGTTTTAATATTCATGTGGCACCTCTTGGGCCTTTTTGGTTATGTTTTATAAACTAATATGATTATGTGACAGTAATCCAGAAAACCACCCATCGCTGAAGCAGAAAACTTTAATGTCTTCTGTATTTCTTTACTCTACTCTTTCCTCAACATAAGCAACTAAATACCCTCTATCTTCCATGAGATACAATTACGGTAATAAAAAAAAAGATTATTCTAAAACCAGCTCTGACGGATAGTTTAGCCCCTCTGTTAGGCGGAGATAACCTGATTGACTTCAGCATTCTCTAAGCTAATCGAAATTCGTTTCTGTAGACGGAGATTGTCCAGGAAGGCTCGAGTTCGCTCTTTTCGTTTATAACTACTAAGAGCGAAGTAAGTTTGGTAAAGTAAGATAGAATCGTAAAAACAATATTATATTGTTAAGGTTTCTTCTCCGTTGCTTGATGATGTCTAAAGCTTTGGGAGGCACTTCAATATTTATATTCCACATCTGCTTGTTCATGGGCTACTTCTAATTATCATGCCACTATGTACCTTTCTGATTATAACTCACAATGTTGGGTATTCTTGAAAGGGGTGAATATCTGGAGACCCTGAAATTTACCACACCCTCTTTGCTAATTATGATATATCTAACTTGGAACCATACTGTTCCCAATAGTAGTTCTCCGATCTTTAGAGTCTTTCGACTTGTAGTCTAGTTTTCAAGTTGTACTGAGTTGGCTCCAATAGTCTTGATTTATTGATGAAATGATCAGTTTCACCTGTGGGTTGTATCTGTGAAGGTAGTTGTAATTACAATGTTTCTTGGTCGTCTGACTTTAAACCTCTATAATTCCCTACTTAACCAATAAATGTCTTCCGGAAGGCTTTCTACTAATTTGCAGAAACCTATTCTATTAGGTTGACAATTATTCCCTTGGTCGGCCACCCTTGGTTACTTTTAGGTAACAGGATTTCAATCACTATTATAGTATAAGAAGTTGTCTTCGTAACTACAACGTATTTCGAAACCTGGTTACAACACTTCATAATGTCTAATGACTTCTATACTAGTGTTTCTCTGAGTTCTAGACTCTTTTAGATATTATAGGGTGGGTGTGAATGTATTTGTCTCTTGTTGAGATCATTTACCATTCAATACTATCTCTTTCTGCAGAAGAGTCCCGTTACTTACGGCATATACCAAAGGTATCACATTTTTGAAGCCTAGTAACATTCTGAGTGGTTGGAAGATCCACTCCATTTTACTTCTCAGACTTGGCCGAGGGTCCTGACTTATATATCCTGTGAACAGGACCTAGTTCGACCGACGGTGGCGGCGTATACAGTGTTATTCTGACACCTTCAATTCTGTGGTATTATAGTCATAAGATGCAACTGAGATTAATATGTATGATGACATGCAGGCCCCGTAAGGGGGTCAGAGGAGGGTGTTGGAGACCAAAGATTCCGCTTCTGGGTAAGGTTACCCTACTTAGGGTGACTTCTGGGTATCGGATTCTGGTATTGCTAACATGAGCTCTTTTCTCTTAAGGCTTCACCCTGAATGCCTTTTTTGATACATAATAAAATAACAAAATTAAAAAACATTAAATTTCAAATCTTAGCTCCTTTAGGGCCTGATAAGGGCAGGGTAAAAACCCTTCTGCATTTGCTTGGCCACGGTGGGAAAAAATCTTTCTTTATCGTTCTTCCTCTGCCGGCTGTGGCATTTCCGGGTTATAACGATAGAATTCTTCCACCATTTCCTTTGCATTATCCATGCCTATTGCAGGTTCCCAGGTATTCTCATCCTCGGAACAACCTTGTCATTTAACAAAGTACCAAAGTTTACATATCTCCTAGTAGTGACCATGCACTCGTTGTTGGTAAGAGATTATCTCGCTTTTCACAATTTTCTCTATTTCCCATTATAGGTTAGCCTCAATATCATCGGGTTCTCTTAGATGTTATTGTCAGCAGGTACGTGCTGACTCCCTGTAACGTTCTAATAGGAATACATGGAATACTGTATGTATGTTCTATCAATCTGAAATGTTGAGTTTGTAGGCATGATTTCCTCTTTTTTCTAAGATCACGAATAGTCTATATAATTTTGGGGTGAGTTTCTTTGACTTCCATCTTCTACGAATGCTCTTTGTATTTAACCTTACTTTATCACTGATTTTGAAGTCTAGTTGTTGCTTGGCCTTCCTATCGTAGTATTTAACCATGACTTCTCGTGTCTGATGGAGTGACTTCCTTACTTGTTCGTGGATCGTCTTTATTCAGCTTGTATAAAGAGTAGTTCCTTGATTTTGTACCTCATGTTCCTTCAACCATTCAATTTGTGAATGAAACCAATCATTTGCACAGAAAGAGGTCATTCTATGTGCATTGGTTGCTGAGTTATTGTAGGTATGTTCGGCTAGAGGTAGTAACTGGTACCAGTCATCTTGGTCGTTATTGATGAAACTTTGCAAATAACCTTCCAGCCCTTGGTTGGTTTGCTCAGTTTGTCTGTCCGTCTGTGGGTGGTATGCTGTAGTCATCTTTCTTTTTATGCTTAACATTTTGCACAAGGATTCCCAAAACTCTCCAGCAAACTTCGAGTCCATATGTGAGACAATTTTAGTTGGTAGGCTGTGTAGCTTTTAAATTTCTTTCATAAAGGCTGTAGCCACGTCCTTTGCAGTGGCTGTCTCTTCTAATACAACAAAATGGGCCATTTTTATAAACCGGTCTACTAC